TGTACTTTTTAAGGGGTTCCTGGTATATGAAATGGTTTCTATTGGTTTTAGGGGGTTCCTGGTAATATGAAATGGTTTCCGAAATTACTAATTTTAAATGCAGTCTGACCAAAGTCCCCGGCAAACTGTTGTAAAGCGCCATGAGCAAACATGGATATGGCGCCATAGAAATACATCATTCATTCATTCATATGAAAGGGTTAAAAAGGTTTACATTGATTTATAAGGAATTCGTTCCTCGTGCTGAAGGGTTCTCAATGGTCTGATATATTTTTATTTATATATTTATTAGAAACCGTCTAAGGGATGCTTTTGTGAGACATTTGGGAGAATCGTCAAAGGTTGGTAACTAGAATTAAATTGGCTATTTTGATATCAATTGTTTTGATTATTTTTCCGTCTAACGTGTCGTATGGTTACGGTTCCATGTAACCGAACTGAACTGAGATGTCTTTTGTAGATAGTGGATAGATGGTAGGGGAAAATCGTTCTTGCAAAAATTAATTTTGCGTACTGTGATTTTAATAATCGTTATATTACTAATAATAAGGGTAATGATAATCAGTCAGGCTTGGTATAAGGCTGACTTGTTCCCAGTCGTCTTATCATCAAGGGCGGCTTGGGATTGCAAGGTGTGATAGGAGAAAAGTGCGAGAGCGAAACCACTTCGCTACTGCCCTTTATAAATTCGTTCGCCATCTTGAAATCAGGATTTCTCAGAAGTTTGAGCTCTTTCACTTCCCATCCCCCTCCTCTCCCCTGCCGTTTTCTTACACCGCGCACTTTGTGGAGACGACTGGAAACGAGTTGGGAGGAGTGACACTTTTCCGCACTATACTGCAGTAGTTGTCATGACTATTCACCATCACCAATCATACCATCCCACATTCGTCATTGATCATGTTGTATTGTTGTATTGCGTCCTGTTTTCAGAGTCATGTTCAGCTGAGCAAACACATCCAGAAAGCGGAGCAGAACATCAGCATGGCACAGAAAGGTCTTATCTCGTTATATTCATCACCTGTCCTATCACCTCACGTCAGCACAGAGCATCTGCCGAAAGGTGGTCTTCACTGCACTTTACATCAGTCACTGTACACTTCTCACTTACACGAGTAGCTGTGTTTCACTTGAGGATCATGCAATCATTTCCATCAATTTTTTTTTTTACTTTCATGCGGTGAAGCAACTTCATAAGAGTTGTATCACCTATCACAACGGTGACGAAAACGCCCCTGTACATTGTCATAATTGCCACGGAAGATCATTTCCAGGAGATCACATCTTTGCCTCTCTTGTCATTCCAAAAAGAGTTTGAAGTTGCCTTCATTAAGGTCTTTGGTGTCATACATCCACGCACTTTGTTCATAGCCCTGTGGAGAAAGGCGGTCTTACCACTTTGATTTTAAGCTTGTGTATGTTGATTGATATTTTATGACGTTTAAACTATGATGGCGTTCATTACACAAGCACAAATACGCTTACGAGACAGTCTTTGCAAATGGCGTCACGCAAAGGTCGTGTCTCAGAGGTTTCTTCTTTTGCGTTAGAGCGCATATTAGGTGCGTATTCATTGTTCGTTTCTCTTTCAGACAAATCGAGACCTTCGTTCGAAAGATCCGACTCACAGTCAAGTGTCGAAAGAGGTCATGAGGACTCGGATGGAAGAGAATACGAATCGGACTCGTCAAAGTCAAGCAGCCGACGAGGAATGACATCTTCGGGAAACGTAGGAAACAACGAAGACTCGGGTTCGGAGGCTGGAAGATTTGGGAGGAGACGCAAAGCATGTCCAAGTCAGGACGAATCCGATGGAAGGGCGTCCGATTCAGATTCGGGAAAGACGAACAGACGACGAATTGCATCGCCACCATTGGAATCAACCTCCGATAAATTGAACAAGACAATTTTAGAATCGAATTCATCCACGCCAGGGATACAGATTGAGGTAACAGACGCTGGTAAAACCAGTAGACAATCCTCTTCGGCTTCACCTCGAACAAGAAAATTATCTCGATCAAAATTATTTAGCAAGATAGAATCCTCACCTCTGTCACACTCATGGACGCCCGGCGCTATCGAGAAGATTGTAAAATCATGGAGAGAAGCAAAATCTCCTGAAGTTCAGGAGAAAACGAAAGAGGAAGACGACTCCCTTAAACCTGAGACCCATGTTCAGTTTTTATGAAAATTACTTGTTAACCCTTTCACTCCCAAGATCTCGTCGGTAATTCTTCCTTATGTCTGCCGTACCATTCTTATGATGTTAGTTTGGAGAATTTGGTAGTGGATCGGCAAATAATCCTTAAATTGATACTCTTCCTACTTCTCATCACTTGTCAGCTTGATATTTCGTTGGTACTGTAAGGAGAAAGTCTGTCTTGGTCAATCATGGGAGTTAAAGGGTTAAGAAGGATTATACTTTTTTTTAAATAAAAGGTACATGTTTATTGCCCAGGCAAATTGTGCTGAATTTTTCACGAACCTTTTCGGGTTGAGAATAGATTTTTTACATTTTTAGTTTTATCACTTTTTTTAGCCCGCTTTTGAGATTTCGATTTCATTTTGTTTTGCTTTTCCATCAACACGTAAAAATTCATTCATGAGTGTGTTCACAGCTCTGGTTATACTAAGTTCTTCTGTATAACTTCAGCAATTTCTGCTTCGATTAACTAGAAAAGTATGTATGAAAAGATAAGGGTGCAAGTGCACCTTGACTGCCACCGTTCACCCTACTACCAGACTGATCTGGTTATTGAAGTGTACTCGAGTTCATCGATATTTCAGCTTCAGTCAAGATTTTCCCTATTTTCATGTTACAATTTTTACTCACAATCTTTTTATGCGCTTTTAGTCGATCATGCTGCTTTCCTGTCGCGATAAATTTCTTTCCTTTTATGTATTATCATTATTTTTTAATGTATCCCTTGTTTCTTAATCAAGTGTGTTTCGGAAAGAGGTGATATTTTTCTCGTTAAGCTCGACTGTCGGCATAAGGTTGTCGTAGGTATATGTGTGTTGTTTAAACGATACCATTTGTAATGTATTCTGTCATCATCACTTTAACGATGATATATGCTGACAACATGCCATGATCGTGAACAAAAACTTTTCCGTGAGAATTAGTTGTAACGTCAAACTGGTTTTACTGGGAATACAATGATTTGTATTGAACTGTCATATGGATCAAAGTCAAATTTGAAGATATTTTAAGAGCAACAGAAAACATTCGAATGCGTGAACTTGATTTAAGTCAGTTATCATGAAATTAAAAGAAAAGGGCCCGCACTATGGATGAAGAATCTACCGGTCACCATAAGTGGGAGGTACAAGTTGTTATATGGTCATCTTCTAGATGAGGTCTTACCATTTATAGCATAGTTTATTATTTGGCAGATTTTTATCAAATGCGCTCGTTAAGGATCGCTTAAGTATAGAGTAATTTCTATTTTTATTCTTGCTATTCGGTTAGAATAGATTAGAAAAATGAAGAAATTGAACTGTCTGCAATTGTTGACGTTTAACTTAAATCCAGTTTAAGCTTTTCCCAGTTTTCTTTTTTCCACGCTCGTTTATCAGATTCATGGTTGTTTTTAATCCTCATTTGATGATTAGATTAGTGAGAATGGCGATGATTTTTAAAGTTAGTCAACGAAGGGTTTTGTGGTGCGAAACAAAACGGCACCATTTCCACTTTTAGTGTGAGGGGTCGGGAGGGGGCACTCCAGGAACTTTTTCAGGTGGTTTGTCGCACTAAATTGTTCTAAACAAGATATCGTTATGGATTGTAATGCATCGACGTCGTACAGTCTCTCTCCGAAAACCACACACTTCTTGGCAGCACATACTCGTGTTGGGTACACGAGGAAGTGGTACTTCCCTTTAGGGTGGGGACGAGGGGGGTTGAGCACTGATGAGATGGAAGAATGTCGTACTCTGTCCTTATCAAATTCCGCAAGTCAAGAGGACGACAAGTGTGCAAAGAAGATCCTAACTTGTGAGTATGGGTTATGCTTCCTTGACTCATAAGACTATTGGTGTAAATGTCCTAAGAAACTACTGGCTGAATGGCGTGTACGCCGTCAGTTAGTTACCTCCCCCAGCACATACCTCGTTGCATCTCGTTTCCTCGTCTGATCTTTGATGCCAACTGGTGGGGAGAGATAAAGAGAGTAAAGTGTCTCCTTGAGCCATACCACAGTGAGCCTGGTTCCGCGTAGTAACTCGATCTGAAGCTTGAAATAAGGCCACCGGTCCTTACAGCGCTCTGTGCTTTTTCTCCCAAAAAAGGAAAGAAAAGACTGCGAAAACAAAGCAAAGGTCGGCGAAAATGGTCAAGTGTAACACACTTCAACAGAGTCGGGAATGTTAGAAAAGATTTTTAGATCAAATACGATCCTGTCCGAGCAGCGAAGCTCAAAAGCCGCATAGAACGATTCCCTACGGTTTTTATACCTTTTCTTCGTCATTGTCAATTTTAATGATCATAAGAGATATTGCAGAATTTTGAAATATTTTTGTTAGCCTATGAATGGGTTAGGAATGATAACATCCCGCCTGAGATTCGATTTACAGACCTGGCGTTGGGTTTAATTTTATCCTTTTTCTTTTCTTTTTTCATATTGCTATCAAAAACTCTTTTTTGATTATGAAACGGGAAAAATATTGAAAATATCTACGTAAGAATGTAAATGTTTCTCGATTTATTTACCCTTTTTGCAGCTTATTAGTACAAAGATGCGTAGGCGAATACTAAACTGCTTTCAATTAATTGCCGTCTTTCTTCAACGGCAGACTATTGTGTCATTTGAAAGGTTTCTGTTATTTAAGTAAATTTTGGTTAAGTCCTACGTACATGGGCTTAAGAACCAATTAAATACGCCACCTAATTTGATGTTATGATTGGTGAAGTCATTTCGCGTTTGTTACTCATTGTTTACACGCAATAAGTTTTGCGCGAGTTTCCATGACAACTGCTCTTCATCCGGGTACCCTGGGAACATATCAGTAGTGCGGTGGAGCCGACACGCTCCGAAATGTTTCGTCCGAGGTAAAATACCTCCACCGTTTCCAAAATAACTGTTGGATCTGGTCTGTGATCGTCAAAGGAGTATGTTAAATTGATTTTTATGGCCGTGGATGACAGCATTATTTAAGTATGGCTACAAGAAGTAACTTGCAGTCGACAGACTCGAAGACGTGTTTTAAGGTGTCCTTGGTCGCGAAGGATTTTAATTGCTAAATTGCGGTGTGAAAGCTTCGTTGAAAAGGTCCATAGATGGACCTGTTTATTGAGACGTTAACTGGAACAGCCTTTGAGTTACGAGTCAGCCCTTTTGAAACCATCATGAGCGTAAAAGCTAAGATTCAACGTCTTGAAGGTGAGTGAAAACGCAAGTATTATTCTGAGCTTATGAATAATTGTGTGGGAACAACGGCGAACCATCGAGAACAAAACTAGTCTTGTTTATCACGAAGACATAAAAAGATCGGTAGATTTAAAGTTCATTCTTTTCCTTTCAACGTGTGAAACCCGTCTATCCGATGAACGCGTTTTCGAAGGTTTGCCCTCACATCAGAGACATAAATAATTTAAAATGTGTGGTGTTGCACCATTTGTAAACACTGGCCGAATGGATGGACTAGTGTACGCTTGATTTTGAAATGGAAATCTTTCCAAAAGGTCAGCGATAAACGAAGGATCACGAAGCAACGTGAGTTATTGATAATATTGGACCCGTTTTATATAGAATGTTTGTTCATAACTTTGTCTGAGAAATTAGCTCTTCGATGGGGTTTTGATTTTATATAACTTAAATTCTTGATTTTTTTCCCCTTGACATCACTTTCCTAAGTTTGAAATAATTCTTATTAGGAAGGACTTAAACATTTTGTCACGGTCTGAAGATTTCCTCTTTAAACATCTGTGAGCAAGGTTTAACACCTTCAAAGAATACACTTGAATATTTTCACGTTTTTAGGCTTTCGTTAAAACGTGATGTTATCGTTTATGTAATTATTGTACGGATCTGATGTGGTATGTAGAGATCTGCTAGTTTTTTGGATATGTATTTCAAAATTATGCCACTGTTTTGTTTGTTTTTCACATCGCCTATTTAAGATCCTACATACATCGAAGCTTTTTCATTCAATATTATGTCGTGAAAGATTGTCACGCACACGTTCATGTATGTCTACTTGGACTCCGTGTCGCGAATGTTCTGACCAGATATTTGCTCGTTGATAAGGTTTATCTGATCACTGATGTTTTGGATGCCAATAGTCATCAATAGTTGTTTAACAATGTCTTCTGTAGTGTCATGTAACTGAGAACGTGCATATTACTGTTTTTGTTTTAAAACTATGACACTTCACAGCTAGATGAAACTGAAATTTTCAGCCGGATGCAGTTCTGTCATATGTTTATCTTAAGATTAGATTTCCTTTGTGGTCAGTTGCTAAATCAAGCTGTTACAACACCTAACTTGTTAATGGAGTTATCCACTGTACATGTGAAAGCATTGACATGCTTGCAGCTGTCTAATTTTACTTGGCTGAATCTTAAACTTACAAATGATTTGTCTCTAAAGGTGAAAATGAAGGCTTTGAAAGCTGAGAGCTAAATAATTTACCTTTGCCAACAATTTTTTCATCATCAGATAGACTCTGTTTGTAAACATTCTTTTCTGTGTTTTTGGCTTTTTCATGGTTCCTAACAAAAGTTTCCATTATCGGATATGAAATTGTAAATTTTAAATATTGTGTCCTGTCCTTGGTTTTTCCCAAAATTGTTCAACTATCATGAATTATGTCTGAAGGGTTACAGTCAAGTTGCCTGAGAGTCATCTCGCCTGAAGTCATGTTGCCAAAACCTGAGTTATGTTGCCTGAAAAAAAAAGTCAAGTTGCCTGAAGAAACTAATACTAAAAAGATCTGAATTTCAGACTGTAAATAGGCAATAAAGTTGAGAATTTTTATCGCTAAAGCGCTCTTTGTATTCAACAACACCATGAAGATTCTTAAAGTGTTCTTCGTTTCTAACAACAAAGGGAAGTGTTCTCCGTTTCTAACAAAAAATGAAGCATTGTTTGTTTGGTATGTACTTGTCTCTTACTCACAGATATTTTGTAAGCTTGAGAAACTTTTTCTTGGTTTCCAACAAAGTCATGAAGACTTTGACTACTCAGAAGTTGACCATATGGTCAGAAAGGCCATATGATCGACTGTAATTGTTGCGCTGTAGGGCTTGTTGCAGTGGTCTAACTTCATCATCACAGTTAATGCAAGGATGAATTCTCATTTTGATCAGCTTCGTATTGTAACTAGCCTTACCCCCTTCATATAAACTTTGATTAGATCAAAATATACATGGGACTGCCAGAGCACAACTACATAATTTATGCCTATTCTGATCCTAAGGGAAATGATGCTATGAGACTACTTCTGTGAAAAAAGTCTCAAGCATAAACAATAGACTGTTATCTTAAAAATATCACACTTACCTTAAGCAACAAGTTAATTTTTAATGTTACGAAGTTCACAGAAAACACAACATAACTATATTTTTGTGTTGCTCACTTTATCTTTTACCAACTTGTCAAACGTAACAATTGACAATTGTTTACCAGGTGTTTTCATCTGTTATTGTTAAGAAAGTCAAAAATAGACACAACAGAACTTAACTTGTACATTACGCTGCATCTGTGCATTTGTTGTTCTAGAAATGAACAATGCTTCCCTCTGTTGTTAGAAACAAACAACACTTTTAGAGTCGTTACTCAAATATATATCAATTCTGACCATACAATTGATTTCTGTGTAGTCAAAGTCTTCATGGCAGTTTTAGAAACAAGAAAGAGTTTCTCAAGCTTATGAAATGTCCATGAGTAAGAAATGAGTACATACCAAACGAACAGTGCTTCATTTTTTTTTGTTAGAAACGGGGAACTCTTCTCTTTGTTGTTAAAAATGAACAATGCTTTTAGAATTGTTTCTCAAACATATATCAATTCCAAGCATACGATCGATTTCTGTGTGGTCAAAGTCCTCACAGTATTGTTAGAAACCAAGAAAAGGTTTCTCAAGCTTACAAAACATCGGTGAGTATGAAACGATTATATACCAAACAAATAACACTGCATTTTGTTGTTGGAAACGAACATTTCTCTCTTTTGTTAGGAACGAACAACACTTTAAGAATCTTCATGGTGTTGTTGGAAACAAAGAGTGCTTTAGTGATAAAAATTTCTCAAGGCTATTGCCTATTTATAGTCTGAAATTCTGATCTTTTTAGTATTTGTTTCTTCAGGTGACTTGACGTTTTTTTTCAGGCAACATTACTAAAATTTCGGGCTACATGACTCGGGTTTCAGGTGACATGACTGCAGGCGGGATGACTCTCGGGCGACTTGACCAGTTACCCATAAATACACTAAGTCATTAAAGAGTGGAACCAGCTACTGACAAGGCAAACCTAAATCATGGTGTAGAATATCTGCTGCTGATGATTACTATGTTTTCCTTTTTTCTCATGTCTCATTTTAATTTGATTTAATTTGTAGAGTAATACTTTTAAGAAGAAGGCATGGCATAATTGTACTTACTGGTATAGAAAAAAGACCAGTATGTTACATGTATGTTAAACCTGAAAAGAAACTATTTGGCTGATGATAGATTATTGCTATAGATTTGACATTCTTCGGCAGTGTACATGTAACTCGTTTAATTAATTTGTTTGATCTAGGTATTATCAGAGTCATCTTGTGACATAAATTCATGGAATTTTTCTTGTTGATGAAACTGTGGTTTTAAAGGAGTTAGGCTAAAACTGGTTTTTCATAGGCAGGAGAATTTGGGACTAAACTAGGAAAACAGGAGAAAGGAAAATTGAATATGTACAGTTTTCTTTCAAACTCAAAGAAAGGGTTAGGACCTGTAAACTTAATCTGTGTGCAGGTCAGACAGATTGTAGATCTGGTAATAAGGCTGATTAGGTATTAAAGGAGGTAAGTGTCCAAAGAAACTGTGGTGCTGTGTCAGTGGGAGAGTATAGCAAAGAAGTTTAGTTTTATCGATTGAGTTGATAAGGTAAATTGGTCATCACAAAGAGTTTCAAAGCTGACGTTTTGAGCATTAGCCCTTTATCAGAACAAAACTCTTTACAGTGACCCATCTACATTATCAGCTCAGTTGATAATATTAAATTACCTTGATTAGGTGTTAATTTCTATGGTGTTCACAGTCCTCTATAAGGAATACACAATCTATTACATTTTTGGAGTCTGTTTGGTGGCTTTTTAAAGAAGGACTGTAAATGGACTGCTCTTTCCTTGGTATACGACATAGTGGAATCACAAACTTTTTAACCTTTCGAGGAAGAGGCAATTTGTTCATAATTTATCAAAATAGACATTTCAAGAAGGGAGACAAGTAAATTTTAAGTTTGGGTGCCATTTTGAATCTTAGAAAAAGCCTGCAAACAAACATGGAAGCAGGACTTACATCACATATATGTCATACTGATTTACACTTAGTTATAGCCTCTCTTGCAACTTTGCTTATATTCTGACGGAAATTAGAGCACTTACCTCATTGGTGCAAACAAGCCCTTAATGAATGTGAAAACTAACATGATGTACTGAATTATTTCAATTAATAAACATACCATACCTATCAGTTCTTTGTAAAAATCTAATATGCGAATGCTTTATTAAAACTGCAGGCATTCCAATGTCTCAGCAGCATTTGATATGGAGATCAGCTGAGTTAGAAGATGACTATTGCCTCCATGATTATAAGTAAGTATGTGTAAATGTGTAAGCTTTAAAGTTGATAATAGTTGAATGATTTTGTGTAGTAATCATGTTCTTGTAGAAAATATGTCAGGTTGATTTGGATGTCAAATCCTTTAACTCCATCATATCCCCTTAAGGTGATTCCTCAGCATTGCACTGTGCATCCTGTAGTGCATATAAAGTCACAAGGCAAATAAGCACTGACATATTCCAAGAACATGGTATTGTTTTACAGTAAATAGACCCAGTAAAGAGGTGTGATTGTCTTTTGCTCTTGAATGAGAATAGTGACCAATATTTTTACTGCATACTTTTAGTTTACAAATCATCCCCTTTCAATTTGAAAAAATTTCAAAAAAACTCATGGAAGGGAAAAAAGATAAAGCTAAAAGCATGCACAAAACACCTGATTCAAAACGATACAAACCATGACCTTGAGGGCAAACACTTGAGGAACATTTTGAGTTGATGTTGTTTAAAACTGTGTGATTTTTCACAAATAATGTATCAAATTGTTCTTAACACAAGACTTTCTATCTGTCAAGTTTTTTTCGAGTATTTCTTAAAAAACCCTTGCTTCCAGCTATGTCATAATGTACTGATGAAAAGACACGCATGGTTAATGCCAGTACAGGCATAAATGGGGGGAGTTTGGCCCATCATATCTCTTAAACAAGCATGGCAACATATCTTTATAGTTTTTCTTTTTTTTTAACAGACATTGGTACAGAACAATTATGGAAAGTTTTAAAAAAACTGTCCAGTTAGTTTTTTTTTTCTGAGGAATCACCTTAAACCAACTTGAGACAAGATGCCAGGTGTTAACCTGGGACTTTATCTAGAGTCAGTCTAGTTTTATGTTTAAAACAATAAATTTTACATTGACTCTCCAAAGTACAGGAATGAAATCGAAAAATAGAGACAAGAAAAAAATGTCAACATCACAAGATATTATGTATGGTCACCCATCACCCATGGGCTTTACTTCAGTAAGAAGCACAAGCATGTGGCTAATTTCCATATCTGACTATGACGGCACTAAAGTGAATTTTTAACATTGTCTGCCACAGGCATCTCACATGATTAAATTTCTTTTAGTGATGCAGAGAAATTGTTTTGGAGGTCAGTCACCAACAAAATGTTGGTACTCATTTAGAAAAATGCAGAAAATTAGACAAAAACTTATTTAATCTTAATTTCTTGCCCAAAAAGGTAGTTTTCATATGAAATTTTGAAGAATGATGACACATCACCAAGGCCAGATTGAGGGTTTTTGGTATACATGAGCACAGTTACTCTCTCTTCACAGAATAATATCTGATCAGCAATACACTTTGAATTGCCAAAATCTCTTTAATTGAACTCAACCTCAAGGACTCTTCATTCTTAATGTGAACATGTATGTTTGCTTTTTTTTTTTTTTTTTGAAGTGATGCATTATTTTAATCAGGACTTCCTGTTTTGTGCTTATTTATTTTAAAACTAGGATCATGTTCAACTATTTGTGTATTCTAAAAGTAATTTCTCATGTAAAGAATAATTTAACAATTTACAGAAAAATGAAATAAGTTTGGCTTATTTTTCATTTCTCCTCATCAATTTAGTATTACAGATGGAGCAACATTACAACTGGTGCTAGCCATGAGAGGAGGCCCTATCAATACAAGAAGAAGTGAGTTAATCTAAATCTAAAACTACATCCTGTAGACTCTTTTAATGCAATAGTGGGAATGTCATTTCATAGGTGCACTTATGCTCAAACCTCAGGGCTCCTTTTCAATTAATGCTATCTTTTAGTTTGGACAAATATAACTACAACAGCTTTTTCTAATGAAAATTCTCTACCATTAATGAGAGAGAAAAATAAGTGAGACCATTAATTTGTATTTTCTATCACTTTTGAGCTAATTAGTCTGGGTTTAATTAAATACAGCTTTATATTAAGTTATGACCATCTTCAATTTGCTCTCTTGAAGTTCCTGTTGAAGATCCTACTATACGAGAAATGGCTGAGTACATGGAAGTCAACAGGTGAAATTTTGTCATTCTTAAGACTTAGGTTTGCTTGATATTCATAATCAAGTTTTTTTAAACAGATGCCTGTGGTCATGGTAATATCATGGAACTATCATGAATCTACACTTTCCATAAACATTAAAAAAGAAACTATCAATTATTTGTTTATTCCTCTTACAAGTGAGACTATTATTAACATTTAGATTTTTTCCTTTTTGTAGAGAAGAAATATGGGATAAACTACCCAAAGATAACCGCCAAGTGACGTTACTTGTTTTTAGGTAACTCTCTAAACTTCTTAGACTATGATGAGCCTAATTGTGGTTCTTGTAAATTAGCCTGCCAATCTTCATAAACACAAGGCAAAATAATAGAATTTCACCCAACACTAAGGGTCAGTTGACAGACAAATGCATGCACATAAAATATTCTGCTTCCTCTTAGTGAAGGAAGTCTTCACTTTCTTTCTGATCATATTATTTTATTAATATTGTTGTTGTCATGATTATTATTAATATCATTATTATTTATCGTCATAAACATTGTTTAGTTTGTCTGCTTCATTATTTAGTGTGGCCAGGGGGGTGTCTTTTGACATGGTACATATATTTAATGGATGACAACTTTTCTGGAATGTGTTGTGCTTCAATCTGCAGTCTAATATTTCCAGGAATTTCACTGATTTTTTTCTTCATTGCTTTGATAACTCTAAGAGCACCTGCTACAATCAGAAAAGCCATTTTTCTTACATGTGAATCTCTCACATTCATGAGATTTCTATTTCCATATCTTTTTACTTTGCAAGGTTTCCTATTGCTATTTAAAGTATTCTCAACAAAAGAGTAACTTTTGGTGGATCACCATCTATGCCCCTGTGAAAATACAAGAATAGTACTTAGTCCTACCCTTTGAACTATATTCGCCCTACACTGCTATCATCATGATCTTCATTCACTGATTTTAGTTCCATTTTGATGTTGACGTTATGATATTGTTTTAGGGATGGAGATCAGTTGAATTTTTTTCGAGTGGTGGACAGAGGTGATGGAACACTGACTCCTCTTTCAGACTCATTAAGGTATTTGCACGTGTGTATCTATATTTGTATCTTAACTGGTATCAGTAAGGAATGGTAATTTTCTTACAACAGACATTGGCAATTTTCCAGTGCCCTGTTAATAATATGCATAATAGATGTGAAATCCGCATAAGATTACTATTAACCTTTGGGGATGCAGTTTGTAAAGTTGTTTTTGTTCAGATTGTGTTCAAAGAAATCCTCAAAAACTCATTATCACAGGAAAGTTTCTTTGATATAGAATGAAGGAAAAACAGCTAATATTAGCATTAAAACAAGTTTGACATATATGCTAAACCCTCCTTCATACAATCATCTGCAAATGTGAGCAACTTTAGGCCATTATTTATGTGATGACTTTTTGTTGTAATGAGTTGAGATTTTTTGGTCACTTTTTCTACTTGACCTGTGCTCATATATGCTGTAAGGATAATATTGTACTGTTAACTGTGATTTCTAAGTTTGGTTTGAATTTTCAAATTTTGATTTACAGTGCTTTATTTATATTAAGCTATCATGGTTCTTTTCATTAAAAAATGTAGTGGTGCTTCAATGTATAATTTATATGATGAAGAGGAAGAGGATAATCCACCACCAATATCACAGGTTTGTTTCATCAAAACTCATTGTTTTATGAATTTCAATGTACAGTAACTGTTGAGTTTACGACATCTCAAATTCCCCTCAATTTTTGCTTTGCTTGTTACAATACATGTACACTTAATTAATGATTGGATTTAAACTTCTTTGTTCCATTAACAGTTTATTCAAGGATTTCATGTGTTGGACAAAGTTTAAAAAGGGTTTCAGATTCAAAGGAATTCAAACCAGTTAGAACCATTTTAACTTGAAATTTCATAGTACCATCAAGTTTCATTCCCTTTTGTTTTGAACCCACATATCAATTTAAAAATATGAAATTTTCCAAATAGTTAACTGGTTCACCCTCTTTATAAGTTTCCAGACAGTTTAGCTGAAATTTATCTTTTGTATGTCTGACTTTCCTTGAATGTCATTTTTGTCATCATGCTGTTTTGTACTTGGTTTCATCATCAAACCCTTAGTGGGCTAATAAAACTCTCTCGTAAATTGATTTTCATTACTACATCTACTTGTGTCTGGTGTGAAAGTATTAGGAATACATACCTTTTAGTTTCATTTTAGTGCTGGTGAGGTGATGGGTTTTTATATAATAATTTCAGGAAGCCATTAAGGAAAACAGTGTCACCATGAACAAAATGAGAGTTCTCAAGAATAAAATGGAATCACAGAAAAACATGAAGGTAGGGAATTGAACCATCCATTGAGGGTAACCTGCTGTATAAGTGTTAGGAATCCACACAAATAAGTGTCATGATGTGAAAACATCTTTTCTTATTCACCAACTGAAATACTGATAACAAGCCATACAGGTCTCTTACAACAAGAATAGAATTGAGGAATCTTACATAAACATTAAGTTTTCAGAGAGAGAGATGGTGTGTGTTTGAGGTTAATTCATTTTACTTTACTTTTCTACTAAGCAATGAATAATTTTGTCTATTTTTGTATACAAGGAGGAGGCAGATAAGTCAGTGGTATAAACAGAGAAAGTTTTTTAGAACTTTTCTTTAACCAGATGGTCATTTGATTTTTAAGCAATAGAGGATATTAGGAATAGTTTTGTGCCAAGAATTTTTTTGCATAATTGTTTGGTTTTGATTTTATTTCAGCCTAAATATCAACCAGCACCACCACCCACTGAAAAACCTACCAGTGCATCCATTTTCAGTGCAAGGAGAAGGTAAATTCAGTTGTTAGTAATATTCAGACATTTATTTATTAATCCACAGTGTAAGTGATTGTAGAAATTTTTTACTGTTTCTTGTTTGCAATAGAGGTGGCTGTATCTCAGACTTTTAATGTAGAGGATTGTTGGAGAGCAATTGGGATATGACAGGAGATGATAACAAATGGACCTGCGCAAGGAGGAGGGAGGGGAAAGGGGAGAAAAAATTATATTGATTATCTATTTCCCTCCCCTTCCTTCCCAGTTTTTGTAGTATGATAAGCAGCTTTAAAGATATCCTTGAGTGTTTGCCCCGAAAAGGCATTTGTGTCAGAGACCATTGCTTGTTGTCTCTCTTGATAGGATTTATTGACTTTTCTTCCAGGTTGCAATTAACGTCTGCTTCAGCTGCAACAAAGACTCACGAGACAGCATTCCGAGTTGTTGATCATCATTCAGCAAGTAGACATCAACCTAAGGCACCAGCAATTCAAGGTTCACCTTCAAAACAGTCAAGTGCGACAAGCAGGGTGACGCCCAAAGGGCCTTTGCCACCTGTAAATACAAGAAGGAAAACAAGTCAAATTGATGTATCAGACTTTTTAGTACAATCTAGCCAGGATACAAAAATTGTTCCTTCAAGTCGAACTCTTTCAAGGAGTGCAATTAAAGAAGGAAGGAAGACAATATCAGAGATAGTGAAAGACTCTAAAGAAATTAAACCATTGGGAAGTATATCAAAACCTGTGAGTCATCACAAGGAAACAAGGACTTCAAGCCCATCACATGGGGCAACTAGTTTAGATTACGCATCTGGAAGTGCTAGTTTACGACGATCAAGAATTCCTGAGGATTCTTCCAATATTAGGTATCCTTTAGATTTGTCAACAGGAAGTGGTGGATTCAGACGGCTTCGTGGGATGGACAATCGGGTTCCAACTCCTGAAGGAAGAAGATCTGGACTTTTGGTTAGTATGGATCATAGCTTTTTTTACCACTCCTGCTGTAAATCAATTTTTTAGTTTTATCAATTTGATGAGCAAAAGACTACCTTCACTGTTGTAATTACAATTCTATAAAGTAGTACAATGAGGTAGTACAATTAAAAGTTTTTTGAAGGAAGCAGCACAGAAAACATAAGTTAAATGTTATCTGTCAGTATTTCAGAATCAGAGAAGTATTTTTTCAAGGCTTTTATTGACCGAGATAATTCATGTGAAAAAGTGAATCTTCTTGCGTCTTGAAATTATCCAACTCAAGGAAACTTGCTTTTAAATCTCCATTCTTGGTAAAGAGTATCAAATCAGAGTAGAGACTGAGATTTTCAGTGGACAAGTACAATAACTGTTACTGATTGTATCCACATTTGCATTTGCAGAATGATTCCCTGTCATATTCATATCGAATTTCTCATGGAAGTGCATCGAATAGTGAGTAATTTATATTATATAAAGTACCACTCTTCAACATTGTAACTTGTTTTGTTAAATTTATTATTTGATTACAATATTCAGAATATGCTGAATTGATGGCATTGTCTTTTCTATTTTAGATTCTCCTTCACACTCTCATCATCTTCCTCCTGTAAAAACAAAACCACATCCACCACCTCAACTGTTACCTGTGAAAAAGAAGACTAGATGTTTTATGTGTGGGAAAAAAACAGGTTTAGCCACGACATACCAATGCAGGTAAGCTTAATTGTGATGTTGGCTGTGTATAATTTTGGATACAATAACTTTAAATCATGCAACACATTAAATGTATTAAGTGTTTCCTGTGTTATTTATTTATTTATTTTTTATTTTTGGTGTAAATTTTTTGATGGTGATTTCTGTGGCTGCTTTTTATTTATAGCTCACAGGTTTTCACTAAAAACCAGTTACTATCAATCTTCTGCAGTCTAGGTGGCCTAGACTGCAGAAGTAGTATTATTAGTAGTATAATTATTATCATTATCTTGCTGGTTTTATTATCCTTAAAATGTTTGTGGTGTGATGCTTAGTCTGTGTATTTCTTTTGCCACAGATGTGGAAATTCATTTTGTGCAACTCACCGTTATGCAGAAGCTCACAGCTGTACATATGACTACAAAAGTGAAGGAAGAAAAATAATTGAACAGAACAATCCAGTTATAGCAGCACCTAAGCTCCCCAAAATCTGACAGTTTCCTTGGTAGCACTTATGTACAGTTACAAGTCAGATGAATATATTTTGTAAATATGTTTCAGGTCAATTAAAAAATTAATGCCTTGATGGTTTGCATCATAGAGAATTGAAAGTCACTGGGATATTGAAGTTTCCTAATTTTGTTTACCTTTGGTACCATGGCAACTGCTGTTACCATTTACTTTGTCTGAAAAATCTTGGTAGCCTATCCTATATTAATCCTAAGCAGTAAAATTGCTGTGCAATGTATGTTTAGATTTTTGGTTTGTTTCCACTCAGTATCAGTGGTTTGAAATACAATTTTTTGCAGTCTTTATCATTATTTAAACTTTTATTTGAGGTGGGGCTTTGTTAACATTTTTAATGGTTTGTGGATTTCTATATAGACTTCTTTTATAGTTTTCTTTTTGTCTAATATTAGAGGTCTGTAGTAACTTTAGACATTCTGCTTAGTGGTAGATAAGTATGGTTACATTCTATTCAGGAGTGGTTCATGAAACTTTAAATATAGTAAGATTCCTTTCTCTTTGTCCATAATTCATTGTACATAAATTATTGCAAAGCTAATCCATGGTCACTTGTAAACAAACTGAACTACTTAAAGGAGGAGGTAAAGGAGTGAAATAAAAGAAGAAATGTAATGGTATTGCTGTAGACCTCTGAATTATTTTTGGTCTGTTTGATGTTTGCCTTTTGTTACCCATAGTGTAATTACATGACAGCAATGTCAGGTTACTGTTAGAGTTAAGTGCAATTCAGTTGTTACTGACACTGCTTCTTGCGTCGAGTTTTGTTTCTTTGTTTACTTGCCTATACACCAAAGAGACAAAAAAATCTGTGACTTTATTACCATTACTCTGTCTGGTCTTTTTAGGGCATGGCACAGTTGGTTTTCAAGTCTACACTAATCTCACTTTTTTTCTCTTTTTTGACCAAAGACACTCATTACAAATAGTCACCTGGAAACCTTTAGTACCCACATATTTAATTTTTCCCACATAAAGTGAACAAATAAATATTGATGGATAGTTATTGTCAGACTGAGTGTGATCAATTTTGGCACCTTGGGAAGAATAAAAGGTACTTTAAATTAAAGGAGATGTATGGACCATATTGTTAGTGCACTGGAGTCAGGATTCATGCCTTAGGTTACCATGTTGTGTATCTAGGTAAATAATTCTCAGAGCTTTTCTCCTCTCAAGATGAAAATTATTTACCTTCCAACTGTTTGGGAAACCTGATGGATGGTTATTGTCAGGCCGAGTGTGATCAATTTTGGCACCTTGGGAAGAATAAAAGGTACTTTAAATTAAAGGAGATGTATGGGCCATGTTGTTAGTGCACTGGAGTCAGGATTCATGCCTTGGGTTACCATGTTGTGTACCTGGGTAAATAATTCTCAGTGCTTTTCTCCTCTCAAGACGAAAATGATTTACCTTCCAACTGTTTGGGAAACCTCGTGACAAAATGTAGGGGTAACCCTGTGACAGATTGGTACTCTGTTTATGGGGTAGTCACAACACTCCTTGTCACATCATGCAAGTCAAAGAGATGATGTGAAAGGAGTAGCCTTCTGGCTTGAAATCTGATGTTTCCAATTCAAAGATAGCAACTAAGAGACAGTAAACTTGCCTTTCTATCCCATTTTTTTAGTCATTTTATTATTTAGAAGGTTCAGATGTAAAATAAATTAATTATTAAATATTTCACTTTTTCATTTTTATCCAATGTGACAAAATATCAAACATCCTTTTACATGTCAAAATCTTCATTTCAAATTATGAAATCATTTTTTGTTGTTGAACTTCTTTTGTTTGTATGTTAATATCACAACATAGCCCAGGAATATACAAAAATTGTCACAGAAAAGGGAAATGGAACACTCAAAACTAGTCACACTATTGCCTTGGATGCCTATATTTCTGTACATCCCTACAGGTTTTCCTTCTTTTTTTTTTCTTTTCTTTCTTTTTTTTTTTTGCTGTTGTTAAAGATCTTGGTCTGCCCTGCGGCTTTGAATTCTACAATAAGGAAAGAAAATAATATCATAATTTTAGACTGATTTTTGTATTTGGGTCCAACCATCTGCCTTCAACTGGATGTTGCATTTCTTGCAAATCAAGCATGAAGCTTTGATTCACTAACAAATATAAGGCCACAGAGAGGAGGAAGCTTAGTTATGGTGTCCCTAATACTACACTTCTTGTTAACCAGATTTTAATAACAATAAGCAACTTAGTTGTAATTTATAACTATTTTCATTACTCTTGTAACCTTTTTTTAATTATTTAACTTCTTGAAACTCAATCATCTAAAATACTTTCTGAAGTTAAAATGAATTAAAAAAGTATGGTTTTTGTCTTGTCATGAGCAGGGTACAAACAAAAAATACTGAGTCTTCATAAGCACTTGAACCCCAAACAGTCACATTCCATGCTCTGATGCTCTACGACTGAGGTACAGAGAACTCTATTTTGGAGTGTATCAGGCCACATCTATGTTCATGTCATATAATATGAAAATGAATGATTATTAACTTTGGACTGGGGTTAGTCATAGCCAAAGATAAATTTGTAGCATGAACTTTTTAAAAAATATTATCTGCTCTAGTGTCATGCAACCTGTCAGATACATACTGTATGACAATAATCTGGCAGGTCTGCATGTGTACCACCCTGCTTCTATTATTGCAGGTTTATTTTCAGTTCATTTCTTTACTATTGTTATAAGTAGTTCCATTTCATTGTCAGTAGCAGTTTGTGATAAAATTATTATTTTCAGTGACTAGAATAAAAAATTAGACATAGTATTAATTGTGGAACCTGCCAACAGAGCTTCTTGGAATTTGATAACTGTCTTTCTAAAAGCCCAGTTCCCAGCCAAAATGGCTTATAAAGAAGAAATAACACTAGTAAGAATGTGGGCACTTTTTCTAGCTCTCTTCTGTCTGGCTCCATGATTAATCTTCTCTCTCTAACTCATCAATAATGAAACATGAAACAAAACTTACGATGTCGAACTGGACGAAGCACCAGACCAAGGTTTACTTCTAGGACCTGCTGAATGAGGCCTAGGTGTTGTTTGTCTCAGGGCCTCAGAGAGTGGGACTCTTTGAGGAGTTGGTGTATGGGACCTGAAGGACCTTGAATTAGATCTGCTTGAAGATGTCCTGTGTCGTTCACTTCGACTGCACATTGGAACCTGGTAATCTGTTCAATGTCAGTTACCAGTATTTTAAAGTTAGAATTTTAATCCAAAGACATTGAAAATTAATAGACTCAGTGTATATCTATGTTATAGAGATGGCCACTAGCATTTTCAATACACACCTTGACCAGCTTCATCTGGTTGTTCATCATTTGGTCCTGCATACCTACAAAGATTACATGGTAATAAAAATGGGACTCATCAATTGAAATCACTGATGATATTATTGATAAGTTGCTGTGGAATTATAAAACATGGAATTAAAAAGTTGTGACATTTTCAATTAAGTAATGAATGATGTGCAAATGTAATGTTAGTAATGCACCATTTAAAAAAAAACATACCAAGGATTTTGATAAAGATGAGTATGTCTGTCCTCTGTAGCTTGTCTAAATTCACCATGCTGTCAAATAAATGCATAGGAGAAAAAAGTTGAAGAATTAATTTAAACTGATAAATGTATGTGGCAGTGCAGGGAAAGGTTACTGAAAAATGACAGCATACATGTGATCTGAACCTAATTACATAAATGCAAGAAGTACATTTGAATCAGTGAAAGTTTCTGTCATTACCTTGATTTGGTGACCACTCCTCAAATGCCGACGGTCTTTGTAAAACTGAAGACCCCACCCAATTTCTCCAACCTATATTAGTAAATAAAGAAACCCTTTATATATGACAGTAGCCTAATGGGCTAGATAGATAGATAGATATGTGACAATTATTTGCAAGGATTTCATTACTATTACTATACCCTTAATGCATCAATATGCATTTCAGGGTACATTGTCCTTACTCTCATTTGATTTCAAAATTTTCGTTTTTTACTTTAAATACCATTTTTGCCATTCATACTTGTTTCACACCTAAATTAGTTACCTTGGCAGACTTGGGCAGAGGAAAAGCACAGCCCTACAGTGAAATAATATGACAATTATTATTGAATATGATTATTATTTAAATTATAGATCCTTACAACAAATCATCAGCCCCTTTCTAATCAATGTACCATGAGAAATACCACTCACCCCTGAAAGAAAACATCGAAAAAACACAAACTGACGATATATTCATGCAGTTAAATATTTTCCCAGCCTCCCACAGGGGGCCTTTTGTCCTTCCCACGGAACCCTATGGAATTTACTCCATAATGGTTCTCTTCTGTGAGGTACTGAATACTTCCTGAAACAGCAAATAATGATCACAATAAATTTTCTGCTAAATTATTCACCCAAACCACTAAATGAAGGTTGTAACCTTACCTTGGATGGTCTCCATAAATAGTTCAGATCACTAGACCCCTCAGGAGACATTGTTCCAATTCCCACATAAGTATTGGGATCGAGGACTGCTGTATCGTGATCCCTGATGCCATCAGGACCTTTCAAACAAAAAAGGAGAAAGATATCAGCGAGTTCACCATAGAAATAGAACATAATTTGGTCTTAATGATGGAAAAATCTTAAAGATGTATGAACCCAGCTGTGCAATAGAGGTTACCATCAGTCAAAACCTTAATTTTTTTAGAGCTTTTCACACGGGCCCTCGTACAACAAAGAATGGTAAATACAAGAAATCGGTTGCAAATACTGCATATAACTTTCTGAAAATGCATCGTAGCATCACTAGACCAACGCAAGTAGAACAGAACCCTGAAGTGCTATTTTTCGAAATAGGAGACCGGTTCCACACGCACATTCCTTCATGAGGTCAATCAGTTTATCTCCAAGATCTGCATCTGTGTTTCTCTCTTATCTATCAAAACTTTAGTCAAAACTTTTACAGTGTTTAACTTTTCGGGCACTCTGAGCTCGACTTAATTCCGCAAAGATAAAGGAAAGTTTGCGCTCGGTAAATAATGTAAACACGTGTGGCAGTAAGAGACATTCCGAAGCTAAAGAATTTATTGAACCATTTCTCCTCAGTTATATCTTTGAAAAGTTTTACCTGTAAAAAGTACCTCTCCACGGCCAATGTATGGGTTGTAGTATTTGTCGGAACCTCTCCAAGACAGGACGCTTTCCTTTTCTACCATTTTGTGATTGTTTCTGAATGTCTGTGGCCTCTAGCTGACCTAGACGCTGTTGCTAAGCAACAAAGTAACCGGGAGTGCAACAGGTCGTCGGGTGTCCCGCTGTCACGCAATCAGTAAACAGATGTAATCATCTGTTCATAAGAATTTATTTTCAAGAGTAATTTTTTGCAACTTTCCAGCAATAGCAAGAAAGCTCTCTAGATTCTAGGACGATTTGCTCTTTTGAACTGAACATTGACATTATCTTTACAATTTCAGGACAAAGTTCCTGGACTACGAAATATCTAACCCGTCGCGCGAGTAAGAGGGTCTTGTAAATATTTTCATTAAATTAAACCCTCTTGAGTCGGGTGAGCAGCTCCCTGAAAGTCACGCATTCATAATAAAATTTCGTTGGTATTTTCTTAAAGCTACGTAATACAGAAAGCCAATTGACGCTGAACGTAGCGGTTAGGATTTCGCTGAAATAATGGTAATTAGTATGCTCAATGAAATTAAATGAATGGACAAGCTATTCGTTATGTGTGGTCTCTTAATTTATTTGTTTGTTTTGCCTTTCTTCCTCAAATTCTTTCATTCTTTAGATTAGTACAGTTGGAGACGATTACACCACATTGCCCCTGCATTTTAGTTTCAAGCTCCCCCAGCTATATCCGCGTTGTCCGCCAACTGTAGCAGAAATAGCAAAGAGTGGGTATTAACTGCATCCGCCGGGAGGTAAGATTTCTAGCTTTATTTTAGTGTATCGTCCACAAAGCGTGATAGGAGAACTGATCCCACACACTATTATTGATTTTGAAAGCGTGAAAGGTGAGAAACGGGTATTTCTAATGAAATCGTCGCGCTCTTGGAATATCACCCATGGCACATGTTGCGCGTGGCCAATCGAGAAGTTTTTCGATGATTCATGCTTAATTCTTCGGTTGAGCGACATAAAAGATTGCTTGCCATTCTCCAAGACTTTGATCTGAGCAAGTGATGTCTTGTCCCATCTGTCGTTTTAATTGTAATCGTCGTGCCCCATGAAATGTAACCTGAAAGCAAAATATTGACGAGAAGACGCCTGCTCTATCCGAGGGAGTTGACGAAACTGACGTTGCAATACTCACCCTACTCTTTCATCATTATTCGACCTTACTTTGAAGATTTGTGATTACAAAAAGTACACTCGTAAATCAGCAATATGAGCGTTTATGATAACCGTGAATGCTAAAATTAAATCTACTTGCCCAACCGGCGATTTCACAGTTACATGTTGTATTGGTATTTCTAATGGCTTACGCGTCAGTAGTCTTATATTATTCACGAATATATGTATGAAAAATGCACGAAATTATTTCAATACCTTTTCAATTTTACTCTTTCAAAATGCAAATTACGATATGGTTGTTACTCAAATCGAACAGTGTGTGGTCTTACTATTAGACACGTTTGCAAAATCTTATCAATCTTTGCTAGCTTCTTTACGATAATTTTATTTCCTTTGACAATTAGTTGTTCACTCAGATGATTATCTTATCCTGGAAATTTCCATGTCTCTTATGGACTACAGCTATGAGTGTTTGATTGTGAACAAGACTTGTGTATTCTCAATCCTTACTTTACTAACTTGTCAATGGTGAAGTATGCAAATTCCTAAAGTAGATGAGAAAGTGCTTATGTGGCATCTCAACCTTTCACTTTTTTTACGGTTAGAATGGCTGTAGGTAAAAGTGGGAACCTAAGATATTCCACGAAAATACTGAATTAATATTAAACATAATTGAGAAATAGTTATGGTAGTATTGTTTTGCATACAATTAAGGGTAGTAGAATATGCAATTAGTTGTGTGTTCTTCAGGATCTTGAACAAAATGTACTCTTTGTGTAAAAGCAAAACAGGATTTTAGTTTATTAATAACTTGATATTAATATGTAATGGTTAATAGTAGTAAATGATAAAACACCTTTTTTATATCTCTTTTTTTCACTTAATTACCTCTGGCTTATGTTGGAGCTGGCAAATAGAAACTAGCAGAATAAATTTATGACATCACCTAAAAACTTGCCTTATGTTTTACAATCTGACTGACTGACTGATCCCTTCCCCTTTCCTACAAGTTTGTCTAGCAAAGAAGTTAGGGTCAATTTAGTTGAAAGCAGTGAAGTGAAGGCTGGATAGAGATTAATGTGTTTAAACTCTGATTGGCTAGGGCTCAATATTTGTGCAAACTTGACATTAAGTTGTTGTTGCAAACTGTCCTAAGGAACATTTGCTCCCCATGGAGTGGATACAACTTTTTTTCTCAGTGATTGTGTGATCACACACATTAATTCAACCTTATTGGAATTTTTGTGACCAATTTTGAGGGGAAAACACCATAGGGACAAAGACTTCAACTGATTTTTGTGCTGATCACAAAGAGAATTAACAGTTCCACCTGTTCCCTTCTCATGCAATGTTGTAGTGTTTTATCATTCTTCAGAGCTATATGAACAACTACATGTATTTTAAGAAGTTTCACTTTTTTTATCCAACTTCTTTGTAGAAAATGTCTGTTCCACCAAAGTATGATGACCTTGGTAAAGAGTCCAGGGATGTGTTTGGAAAGGGATACGGTAAGACAGAGCCAAATGTAAGAGCTGTTGGAAATTGTCAATTGAGTTAGCTTGTCACTTTTGGTAAAACCCGCTTCACAGCATCAATTTGTCAAAATTCTGTTACCATCTGTTTTAGGATTTGGGTCAGTCAAGCTTGACTTAAAGACAAAAACAAAAAACAATGTGGTAAGAAAAATGGACTTGTATGCATGAAGTTAAATTTTAATCTTACTTTAACCCTTCAACTCCCAGACCAAATTTGTAACTCTCCTTACTGTTAATCATACAATTCTTCTAATGCTAGTTCAGAGAATATAGTATTGGATCAACTAATTATCCCCAAATTAATAGTTTCCCTTATTCTCATCACTTGTCTAGTTGATATTTTAAGGATTCTTGGTCACTCATGGGAGTTAAAGGGTTAATGAGCATTACCACTAGTATTTGTTTGTGTATGTTACTATCTTTGGAGTGATTATGTTGGTCACCTGACATAATAACTTTGGACTTTGTTCAAGATCATGTTATAGTTAAGTTCTTGTATAACTTATTTTAAATGTAATAATAGTTGTGAAGTGTTTTCTCTACCAGCTGATACACTGTTTTTTCATTATAAGGAATTTGTAACCTCTGGTTCATCTAACAATGACACAGGAAAGGTGTTTGGTAGTTTGGAAACAAAGTACAAATATGCGGATTATGGTAAGCAAACAACTAGAGCACCTAACAGCAGGCCAAGAAAACCTTCATATGACTCTGATAAGATTTAACTAAATTTTTGAAGCTAGTTTAGATGTAACTATGAGACTTGATCCCTAGGGATGTATTGGAGGTCAATGTGTTTTTAATTTGATATGCTGTAAGCATATGTTCTTACAAGAGGTGTTGAATGTTTTGTGTTCAATAGGTGTTACCTTGGCTGAGAAATGGACGACAGACAATTTCCTGACCTCGCAAATCACAGTAGAAGACCAGGTACATTCAGTTTTTAGCACTGATATTCTTTGGTGTGTACATTTCTATGATCTTGTGGCTAGATGTGACTCATGGCACATTAGCTCTGCCTACTGATAGTATAAGCAAGTGTTTTTCTATTCTCTTTTGTAACAGATAGCCAAAGGACTCAAATTGGAATTTGACACAAGCTTTGCACCCAACACTGGGTGAGTGTAGTACTAAATAATGTTGTCCTTTATGGTGGTTATGAATTGTAAAAACTTTGCATGTGCCCCATTTTTAAAGGGTTAAGCTTCCAACTCAAGGCTTAATGCCTCTCCAGAATCTATCAAACTTCCTCTTGGTAGTAGTGGATTTCTATTGAAACACACCAGGTAAATTGGTTAACATTTACCCTGAAGAAGATTTACTGTACCATGCATTTGACTTTAAATCCATGGAAAGGGTCAGCAAGCTTATTGGTTTGTTGTGGTTCAGCATGTCTGGAGCTTTGTAACTTCTGATCAAGCTCTAATTTTATTTTCCTCACTGTCATATTCATAATCACAATCTTAAGCAAAGGACATGAAAATCACTTTGGTTTTTAATAATTATATCAGAACAGAAAAAAGTTTCAACCACACAATCCCAATCTAGTAAGGAAGTTAATCCTTATTTGTATATGGATTTAATATCAACTTACCCTTTTTATTGCTGATTCAATTGCAACCTGATGCATGTTTAGGAAGAAATCTGCCAAGATAAAGAGTGCTTACAAGCAGGATTACTTCCATGGCACTGGAGATGTTGACTTTGATTTTGCTGGTCCAACAGTTCAAGCATCTGCAGTTGTAGGGTAAGTGTTTCTCCGCAAAGCTCTTTGTAAAAAATTGGCCTTTGGGTCCATAGTTGTTTAGTGTTGAGCTCAAAATATAGTTAGAACCCAAGAAACAATTTGACTGCAGTGCAGTAGAACTATCAAAGGATTTGAGCTGCAATGTAAGATTTTTGCAACTTTTTGCAACTTGTTTTGTTATCCAGGAGGTACATATATTTTACTCTTGCATGATGTTTTTGTGATTCCAGATATGAAGGCTGGGTGGCTGGTTATCAGGCTGCTTATGACACTGCCAAGTCTAAACTGATTGGCAACAACTTTTCCTTTGGTTATCGAGGAGGTGACTTCCACATTCACTCCTCTGTGTAAGTAAAGTTCTTTCCTGTTACATGGAATCTTAAAAGGGCAAGACATCCCCAGATTCATCTGATCAGAAAACATCAAAGGCTTGAATGAATCTGACAGGGTTGACCAATTTGCTTTTGTTTCTAGGAATGATGCCTCTAGATTTACTGGATCAATTTATCACAAGGTAAGGTATCTTGGGTTTACCAAATGGCATCTTAACAACACATTTTCTTAAATGAGGTTCTTAAGTGAGAGAACTACAACAAGTTTTAAAAGCATAGAAAAGTCAGCTGGAGACAGCTCTATTCCCCCAACCCTCACACGAAAATCTTTTCTTCTGTGTTAGTAGCTCTTCACAAGAAGTTAAGGAGGCTACAAAATAAGTGACATTGATGATGATCACAACAATTTGTTTTCAGCTTAGCAGCAACCTTGATGCTGCAGCAGAGCTCAACTGGGCATCTAGTAGCAGCAGTACTTCATTCCAAGTTGGTTGCAAGTATGATGTAGACAAAGATGCATCTTTTAGGGTAGGTAAACTATTATACTACTGTGCAATGTGGCAGCATGGTGACCAAGAGTCATGCCTCAAGTACACATACTCTTCTGACTATGAAAATCCTTTAAAACAGTACCATTGCAGCTTTACATGGTGATACATTGTTATTACTCTTAAGGTTAATTCCCACCTTCAGAGGCTGAAAAGGTTGATTCTTCTTTTATTTGACTTACTGAATTCAAACATTCAACCTAACATTTCCATAAAAAAATTTCTGAAATCTTTAAAAGCACCCCAATATGTAGGAAAATGTATTTTTAAGTAAAAGTTAATAAATCAGAAGGTGTCATAATCTCAGACCTGGGTGAATCCCCAGAGGGAATTTTTGTGGCAACTGCTCATTTTTAGGCTCGTTTTTTCATGTTATTTCCATATTTTGTTTACATCATGCACTTAACAAAATTCACATGTGGAAGCTCTTTGCTTATGAAAAGGCCATTGGTCATGGAAGGAAAACATTGGTTAAAAAAAAAACAACAACAAAAAAAAGGAAAACAGGCCCAAAGAAGAAAGACAGTGTACCATTCTGTCACAACACAATAAAAATTACTTTATGAAAGCCACTAGTACTGGCAGAGCTCCATGCTGGCAACCACACAAGGTTTCCTTTTCTTTATGCAAGTACCAGCCTTGATACAAAAATATTAAAAATTGCCCAGAATTGTGGTTTTGAATGCTGCCTGTGAATTAGTTATCTTGCTGCTCAGCACATTTTGCAGTTTTCTCATTTTTGCTGTGGGTTTTGCCCTTGGCTTTTGCCTTTGCCTTTGGCAACTTTGCTCATAATTGTGTCCTCCTCTGTAACGCTTCCCTGAGCAATTAAGATTAAAAAATATATATACATGTCTGCAATGGGCTACTTTTCCTGGGAAATCTTGATCCATTGTCATTGACACCATGAGGTCGCATTGTCCCATTGGTTTGCTGTTTCAGGAGAGGAGATAATCTCCTGGCATGGCGAGTGAGTGAAACTGTAGGTTATATAGACTGGAGTGATTTTCATCAAATTTTGCTAAAACATTCCAGGAATAATGACAAATGGAAGTGTGTCAAAAAATGTTGATATTTGAAATATTTGTACGAATAAGAATGTGCTGCTGTGGCATCCAATACCCGATAAATTCAATTGAAGAACCTTTGGTTGTTTCACACCTTACCAGCTCCTGACACTTCCTTAATAGAAAAAAGTTTAAATTAGATTTTTATCATAATTTGCAGTTATGAAGCTTTCTTCTGATGTATTGTGAGCTAGGATTTTAGTGAAACGAGCATGCATACAAATTTTTTCCTGAAGGACACCTCTGAAGGTGGGAAGTAACCGTAAGGGGTTAGATCTCGTTTATATGGGAAAACTTTTTTAAAGCAAATTTTTACTCTCTGCTCTTTTCAAAGGCTAAAGTGAACAACAACAGCCAAGTGGGTGTAGCCTACACCCAGCGTCTTCGTGATGGAATCAAGCTCACTCTTTCTTCACTGATTGACACCAAGAATCTCAACCAAGGAGGACACAAAATTGGTCTGGGTCTGGACATGGAAGCTTGAGAAGTTGGCAGTGAACTTTTCTCCTACAATAAAACAACTGCTGAGTGAAGCAGTGTGTACTGAAATTTAGTTTTTTTTTCATTCAGTGTGAGAAAGCTTCTGCTTTACAGAGCGAATGCTTTAAGGGCTAAAATATGTGTAAAGTCAGGCATGCATGCAATTGATTTGTTTTGAATAAACTTCAAAGTAACCTGTTGCTTTCTTATCCCAAGTGTTGTCTTGTGAATTTTTTGATACTGCTAAACTCCTCTCAGGAGATATGATAATTGATTGGTTAAAGCCTTATAGGTAATAACATACAAGAGTAATCAAGATGTTGTGCATTTACGTAGGGTTTAATTTCTCTTCTGTGGTTTTCGTTGTAATTATTTGGTCTTTTGTTTGTGTGTTTATCCCAAAACTAAAAGAGGAAGTGTTGTTGGTTCCTCTCAGGGATATGGGGCCTTCCAGGCTCACTTGAGCGTAACAATGGTGAATGATGTTGAAGCTGACATTTGTAGAGACATGGGTTATCTTTGTATTACAGTTGAATAGTTTTCCAGTTAAATGTGACTTTTGGTGGTCCCTCGGGAAGGAAATGAAAGGAGTATTTTCTAAGAAATTGCATCAGATATAATCTCGCCTCAAAGAAATGTCACATCCTACATCATTCGAGGAGTAGAGAGCTAGAAATATCTTAAAGCTATGGTCTTTTATGTGTTGAAAAAAATGCCTTGAAAAGGAAGTGAACAGTTTATTCAAGTGTTCTATCCAGTCTTCGACGTCTTGAATGTATTCAATGTTATCTTTGGACTCTTGGCCAATTTCCAGGTTATCATGACATCTAGCCAATGTTTACGTAGATCATCGAACTCTGCTCGCTAGAGAGACGAGTGTCTGATTCTTTTGGATGAGTTAGTGGACAATCTAAATAAGTATCTACGTTAGAACGATACCGTTTCATCTGACTTTATCCCGTCCATATTGGGCATTGTCGTTTCACGTTGTTACAGAATTGTCTGTAATATATGGTACGTGATTACCCGCCTCTGTCCCGCCCACTGTACGCCTCTCAGGTCACATGATGATCACACGCCAGTGTAACAATACACCGCAAACATTTGATTTTGACTCAGAGTTCATGAAAAGCGAAAGGTAGTGGATGTAACGAGGCCTGTTAACGTTTTAGACAACGTCAAGAATAAATGTGAGATAGATATCTTAAACTCACGAAAGAGAAACAGAAAAACTTTATTTGATTTGTCTGGCCGAGGATCCTGGGTCTAGATCAATTGTTCCTGTACTATTGAAGCAAGCCTGCACTTTAAGAGCATTTTGGAGAAAGTTTTCTTCCGATCTGAACTACGATGCAACTGATTGAGAGGACAGTGTTTTGCTTTTTGGCTGCATCTTTGTGGACAGGAATTTCAGCCGTCGTCCCTCTTCCAGAAGAAAACATGAACGTGGTAAGGGCGTGTGTTTATGTTGTGGATATGGCGGCCATGAAACTTAGGTCGTGTTGCGTAATTTCCTATAGCATAAGGAGAAGGATTTAGGAAAATATTGGAGATCATGACTTGCTGAAGGGAATGCTACGATGAGATATCTTTAACTTTGACGATAAGATACCGCGCTTTCCCGCAGTGAACCTAAAGGGCTGATCTTTTTGTCTCTTCAATATAGCACATGCAAAGTACCCACAATTTTAAATTTCAGACTAAAGCAACCAGCAAAGAATGTGAAATTGAGATAACTTTGAAACGACTTGCAAATGGCTTCGAAGAACTTCTTCCATTCGCGCCTCTAAAAAAACAAATAGTTGAAGATGTAGACGCAATGGCTTCTGTGATTGCTGATGGTTGCTTTAATTTGGTTTGAATTGTCATCAGCTCTTTCCTTTACTTTTCAACGTTTACGAACTCGGCCAATTGGTACTGACGAAAGTATAGGAGAATTTCGAGGCACGTAACCTATAAATCACTTTTCCAGAGCGTTTGTAGTTTTAAATCAAATATTAATTTCCGGGAATGAGAAGAAATTTTGGGCAGACCTTGATCTGTGTGTCTTGTGCATAACAAATGTTGTTGTTGTTTTTTTATCCTATAGACTCAAATGATAATTTACAATGGCTACCCTGCCGAAGAGTATAACTTTATAACCCCTGACGGCTACATCATAACCATTCAAAGAATTCCTCACGGGAGACAGGAAACTTATGCCTCTGAAGATGCCAAACCGGTTATTTTGGTGCAGCATGGACTTCTGGATGCTTCTTCCACTTGGATATCAAATTTACCCAATGAAAGCTTCGGTTTCATACTTGCTGATAAAGGATTTGATGTGTGGCTCGGAAATGTCCGTGGTAATACATATGGTAGACATCATGTCAATCTTTCTGTGGATTCTGATGCTTTTTGGGATTTTAGGTAAGATGTTCTTCCTGATATGATGTGTGATGTGTTTGAACTTGTAGGATTTATATTCAGGGTAAACTGTAAGTTTCCTGAATTGAAATTTGTGGATGACATGTTGTTTTAGACCTTAAAAGTCGTCATATCTGAGCCTAGGACTGAAATGTTATGACAAATAGCATTAATCCATGGCCAGTGTGAAGGAATGAGAAACAAAACAGTGGTACTTATTTGCAGATTTAATATACAGACACACTGAAAACATTCTGTGAAAAAAAAAATTAATTAATCAATTTAAAAAAAACCCAGCAAATTATTTCAACTTGTAGAGAATCAGGAAATAATCAATAATTTTAGTCCAGAGCTAAAAAGAGACCAGCCTTTGGATATGATTTATTTCCTTCATTTCCAAAGGAAGCACAGGAAGTAATTGGGTGAAATAGGTTGATATGGAAATTAAAGGTCAAGCAAAGGTACCAAATTTAGTGTGTTAAGAATTAAGTTTCAGGCTAGCTAGATAGAGACACGGAAGAATTAGGATGGCATTAGTAGTGTCACCTTTAGTTAGTGTTTCACCTCAGTGTGTTCACCTCACTGTATTAACCCCTAATGCATTTTCTCAAATCCATTTTTCTTGCACTTTGCAGCTTTGATGAAATGGCCAAGTATGAACTCCCCTCTGCAGTCAACTTCATCCTCAACAAAACCGGGCAGACAACTCTGTATTATGCTGGTCATTCACAAGGAAGCCTCATGGCTTTCGCAGAGTTATCAAGAAACCATGATTTGGCTAAGAAAATAAAGGCTGTGTTTGCACTCGGACCTGTTGCTTATTTAGGTCATATGAAGAGTCCTCTTAAACTTTTGGCTGATTATGTTCCAGAACTTGAGGTATGTAGTTTAAATTCAATCTAACTGGAATTAAGTTATGGGTCTGACATCTGAATGTCCCTCAATTTCCTGAAACTGTCAGACAATTTTCTGAGTACTTGATTTGTTCAAACTTCCTTAGAAAACCAAGCAACATTCTAAGGAAGTTTCATGCAATCAACTCTGTAAAAAGCATATAATCATGTTCTTTATTATAACATAATCATAATGGTTATATTGTTTTATGTTATTTGCAGGATCTTTTTATGATATTTGGAGTCCGTGACTTTCTCCCTTCCGATGATTTTGTACACTGGATGGCAACAAATGTTTGTGAGCCACCTGAGCTGCGGCTGATTTGTTCAAGTGTGATCTTTCTCTTATGTGGCTTTGATGTACCACAGTTGAATTTGGTAAAATATAACCAGTAGTCTGTTTTTATCTTAAATCTGTGAAGCATGTTTCTGCTACACACTAAGAGGTAAAAGAAGGATTAAGCTTGGACATAAGTCAACTACTAGACTATGTCCCAGTTTCTGTAGTTTATAGTAATTTTGCTATTCCTCCCTAGATGTACTTTCAAGGTAACTTTTGGGCATTTTTTACATTACCTTAATATCTGTTTAATTTACCTATACCCATTTCAACAATTAAGTGGAGAGGACCTGTGAAAGTCAATTGTCTTACCTAACAGCATAACATAATTACCTCTGCTGTGGTCTGAACTGGCATCTTCAGTTCTAGAGTCCAGATTGCTAATTTATGGGCTACCTATCCTAACTATCCACTGTACAGAAGTAATCAATGACCATTTTGACATTCATATTTGTAGACACGCCTTCCGGTTTATGTTTCACACACTCCTGCTGGAACATCTGTCAAGAATTTAGTACATTTCAACCAGGTAGGAAAAACCCTCTTGCCACCATGTATTTGCAAAACCATATTTTATTCTTGATGTGATGCTAACTTTTTTTCTCCTTTTAGCTGTACAAGTCTAGTAAATTCCAAATGTATGACTATGGCAGTCCAGAAAAGAACAAAGAACACTATGGCACTGTAAGTGGAAATATAAAATTAATATACATGTACAACAATTGTGGGCCCTAATTTAAACCCTTGCCACCCTAACATCAAATATGTATATTTTCCATACATTTTCCATATATTTTCCATATATTTTGTTAAACAATCAAGAGCTTTAACTTTAGTTGGTGATCATTTCTGATATCGACTCATGGGTGATATTGTAAGGAGAAATTAGATGCAAGTCAAACTCAGGGGCCAAAGTGTTTGTTTGAATCATAAAATTTATCAGATCAATATCAGTATCTGGGCAACTGCCCACTTACCCCTCCCCTAACTCAATAACAGTCAATTGACAACAAGTTAAGGTTAATGTTGGGTAAGGGGAGGGGTAGGTGGGCAGTTGCCCAGATACTGATATTGATCCAGTTTATCCACAGCTTCTATTTGTAAAAAGAAATTTAACCACATGAAACTTTTCACTAAACAATCATTCATTTATTTTCAAAACTGAAGCTTTATGTATCTTGTTTTAGTTTAACCACTGTCTACTTTTTTTAAGGCCACTGTTCCTCAGTACAATGCTTCTGCCATCACTGTGCCAGTAGCACTCTACTATGGAGGAAATGATTGGCTAGCAGATCCCAGTGATGTGAAAATCTTGATGCAGAAGCTTAAAAGCAAGTGGTATGATAAATATATTGCACCATGGCAGCATTTGGACTTCACTTGGGGCCTGGATGCCGCATCTGTGGTATATGATGACATCATCAAGAGAATTAATGAGATTGAATATGGACTTTGACCTCTTTTTGTACCAAAAATATAATTCAGAGTAACTTTTTTAAAAAAAAAAAGAAAAAAATGAAGCTTTGTCACATTTCAGCAAATGATTTATGATAACTCATACTAGCTTTGCTTTCAAAATTTTAATTTGGTATGTGAGTGAGTGATTTATTAGTATTTTGGTTAAGTTCTTTTGGCTGGTTTCTTATTTCTTCGTGATAAATGAAAAAATTAATATTAGATTTTTTGAAGCTTTATAAGAAAGTTTCATCACATTAAAAAAGATTTACAAATTTGTATTACTAATCATTTCTTTATTAGGGGAAGTATTGCATAATGTTGTAAATCCAAATCTCATGAAATGTCTTCATTTAAAACTTTGAAGTGTTCTACCAATATATGATAATTATGTTCTATAATTATGTAATTTTTTTCATGAATACAAATTAGAGTGTGAAAACAAGGACATAATTGAGAATTAAGTATCTGAGTTTAGGGAAAATATTTTAAAAGTTGAGGTTGAAGAACTTACCTTCTATTTCCTCATTCTTCTCTAGTTACTGTATTTATAGATCAATTCAGTTGCTTCCATTTTTTATAGATATTATTCTTACAATGCTCAATATGAAAAGGTTCTTATTTTTTCTTAAATAGATCATTAAATCCTAAGTTAAGTTTTGCGTAATGCTGTCATGAGTTTCCTTAATGTCTTTACTTTCACGATGAAAATAATACAAAGGGGTGTTCCTTCATTTCTCTACTTTGGTCTTTCAATATGGAGGTAAAGTTATCTTGACTGCTGTCTTGCTTCCTCACTTTTAAAGGCATTGTTCTGTGAGGTTGAACAACTTGACTTAAAAGGTGAGAGCAAGCTTTTAATAATGAACAGGAGATTATTCTCAATTAACAACCTTGGACAGTTTTCAACCAGACCCAATCAAGACAGCTTAACAACTTGGCTTGATAGAGACTTCTCCACAATCTAAACCCCACTTCAAGGCAAAAAAACAAGTTGTCATTCATCTTATTTGGGGCATGGAATAAAGGAAAAAAATTCAAGTTTCCCATGAAGAACCATGAATATTCAGATTTCACCATCCAACACTCCATCTCATATCACAGAGGTCATGGGTTTAAATCCAAATGAAATTTTTTCAGGCCTTATTTCACCACTGCTCAAGTAGTGTTCATTGCTGCAAAGATTGCTTTCATATTCACGTCTTCATCTGTAGTTCAAATGTATGACTTTCATATATCCACAGTCGTTTACTCTACCTCATGTTGCTTGATTGCTACAAAGGCTCACTGGTCAGCTGATAAATATGCTACATTAAATTGTGACAAACATAGGCTTACTGTTGAGGATCACCTAACTTGTGGCTAGGCAAATTAACATAGTAGACTTGATAAATCAAGGTCTACAGTTCGTCTAGAAAAGAAACAGTTATTCCGTAGGTCTATGCCTTGGTATTCATTGTATCTTTGTGTGAACCTCTCCAGCTATGAGCAAGAATCGTAAATCACAGTCAGATGCAAAACACCCAGTATACAGTAGCAATCATTATAACGAGTAATATCCAATAATGGCACCAGTTTCTTAAACCCAGTATGCAGTTGCATTATGAAATATTAATACGTCTCTGCATTGTAGAGTTGTGATTGGTCTTTCTGATTCTGTGCACATTTATGTCTCTGCATGACAGGTGTGAGATTGGTCTTTCTATTTCTGTGCACAGTTATGTCTCTGCATGTTAGGTGTGAGATTGGTCTTTCTATTTCTGTGCACATTTAGGTCTCTGCATGATACGTGTGAGATTGGTCTTTCTATTTCTGTGCACAATTATGTCTCTGCTTAGTAGGGTTGTGATTGGTCTATTTCTGTGCACTTATTTTAAGTAGCCATAAGCCCTTGCAGAGATAACAAAAGAAACTCTAAAATTCTGTTTGAGAGTTTAAGCAAGCTACATGAACAGATTATCAAGTCCCAACTTCTCCATTGCAAGCAAACTGACCTATATCTACACCCTCTTTAACCCCTAGGAGTAAGCATGTAATTGTCCTTATAACATCACCCCAAGTCACACATTACAATCATGAGATTAAAATGATCACCAACCAAAGAATCTTTTGACTGATAAACAAATTCTTCTTGTCAGCTCCTTAAGAGATGTATAGAGAAAGGTATGGAGAATATGCATATTGATACCAGGGTGTAACAGGTTGAATAATGAGGTGTGTTGTGTGAGTAGGAAATAAAGATACTTCTTGTGTCAAAAGGTAACATTTTTAGGTCAAGTTAACAGTGCAAGATTCAAGAACACATTTTGATACTTAAAGTTCTGAACTTAAATAGGAATGAAATGCTTTCAGAGCTGACTAGGTGTCATCATCCCTGGATACGTAGCTAATTGGATAATAAACAAACAACACCAAAACTTTACAACTTAACACTAATTTTATTGGAGGGGGGAAAAGACCAAATTACAGTAAAGTTTCAACAACTGTGATGGTGTGCATCTCTTTGAATAAAGGGACAAGTTTTATTTAGAGTACAGCTTTTGTTACATGCATTGATATTTGAAAGGAAAACTTTATGATTCCTGACAGAGTAACACATTAACTGGAAATAAAAATGTTTAGTTTAGCAGCTATAACCCTTTAAAACAAAAAGAAGGTGAAATTGTAATGTTCCATTGGTTTGTGAGAACTCTTCTCTTGACCTTCTCATAAGTATACACGATCATGTTATATATAAAAGCTTTGCAATCATCCTGAGGAAACAAACGTTGAAAGAAAAGTTTAAGGAAGACCTCCACCACTAGCACACCTTGTTGGTAATTTGACAATTAATTTTAGGCGCCAAAATAGCAAAGCAAGGACAAACTGGTGAATAACATCAGTCTTCCAAAGTCTGAATGTTACGCTCAGCCCATTTTGAATTTTTTGACTCTTTATATCAGCTATATTTATCTTCACTCACCATGAATAGAATAGCCACTGAAATGACAGCAAAAATGACATGTATGTAACATAATCCAAAATGGCATTAAATGGGAAATTCACTATTCAAGATAGTTCCTATTTGTTTTCATATTTTTACAAATGCCAATGCCAATAATTTTAAAAATCTTCCACCAACATGATGCAGTGGTGGAGATTTTCTTATGCCTGCTTAAAACAAAAAGATTTCTAAGGAATCTTGCAAGGAAGATAACTCTTTAAAGGATAAAAAATTACTATGTACATCACTTTGCTTGTCCTTTTGATAATAACACTCTCCTCTTATCATAAGACAAAAAAAGCACCTGTAGTAATTCAGCACTACAAAACATTTCTTCAAAGTATTATCCCCAGATTTGAACACTACTCAGCTGATTTATATTTCTGCATTGTTTCCATTTTCTTTAAAAAAAGGTCAAAGGAAAATTCAAAAGTTTAGAATTCTGATGCTAACTTGAGATTTTCAATCCTCCATAACTGAATTTCCTATAGCACACAATACTATATCATAAGACTGCCCAACTAAAAAATATGACAAAAAGAATTAAGAAAAATACAGTTGCAGGTACAGAGAGACCAAGCCCATAAGTAAGGAAGGCTAAACTTGGTTTATTGAGAAATTTAATACAGACTGGAAAAAAAATTATTTTTGCCAGTATTTTTTGAAAACAAAACTCCTTGAAATTATTACATATAAATGAAATTAACTTATGAAATTAAGTATTTGCAACCATCCCATTCTGTTCAGTTTAAAAACATGAATTCAAATTAATTCAATAGTTCATTTGCTCAAAGCACTTGGAATTTCCCTCTTCATAATCCAAACTTGGGTTCTTTGAACTCATTTACAAACACTGCTTTTCACTACAACTTGGTTCTATACCTGAAAATCTGCAGTCAATTAATTTTCATCATCTACCTGAGTGGATAGTAAAGTATTGAAATGAAGTCTTTATTACTCTGAGAAAACATGGCAATTGCAGACCAGCATTAGCTCACAGTATGTGTTCCAGTCATGCTTTGAACAACTGAGCTCAACATAAATTTCCTCTCAGAAAAAAATGACATTCAGTTATGGCCTCAAGTGTCACTTTCATTCAGATAACAAAATAAAAAAAAAAAACTCATTGCCCCCAATGCCATACAATTGACAAAATTCTTTGCACGTTCAAAGATATCCTAGAATACAATGTGTCAAGAATTCTAATTAACCTTTGCCTAATTGGATGCAGAGCCTGCTTACTGAGTAAAGCTCCTTCAGCAAACTTATCCAGTACTAAAATATTTTACACAGGACATCATCTATAAACATACAAATTTGCCAAAGTTACAAACAATAAACAGAGAAAAATCTAGCCTGGCCCATTGACTAGATTTGTTTGTGTTTCAACCAACTCCTTTAGGGGTGACCTGAAACAACACAAACAAGTTATTGTTAGTTTACTAATTCTGCCTTAATACATGTGTGTCATGACATTGATTAAGAGTAAGAAATGTCTGCCACTTTACTACTAATAAAGAGTGGGCCTTGAAGTAACATGAAAACAAGTGCCAAAGAATGTATGATGAGAAATTCTAGCATTTCTGGCTGAAAATTTTTCCCTTGATTTCTTTTAGAAATAAGAGGTTAAGTTAACAGTTACAGCAATTTGTAAAATTAATACCTAGAATCCTGATCCAATTTACTTTTCTTTGATAAGCCCTGATGTTCAGTATCCTTAGTACAGTCCACAGGTCCATTGTCCAGTTTGGCACTTGTCATCTGATCATCATGAGCATTATTTACAGCCTACAAAAGATGCAAGAAACCACAGGTTATTTTTCCCAAAACTATGATATAATTACAAAATTTATCATTCTCCATTAAATACTTTGTGTCACACTAAAATAATTAGGATCCAATAGCTACCTCTTGGTAACACAAGAAGAGTATTCATTCCCTGTATAAAGTTGTTATTAGTAACAACATTTGCAAATTATGCTAATAAATGAACTCCTCTACTTGTCATCATAATCACTCACCATAACCTCTTTGTTTGAGGGGACTACTGCCTCAGTTTGCCTGTCTTGTTCTAACCTAGTGGGTGTCAACAGAAAAGAAATTGAGAGATATTAACATAATATGCAAAATATATTTTTGATTTGTGGATGTGCCACTGCTAAGTGGCCTGAATCATGCTTGTTATTTTCCTGTCAATCTGCATTTTCAACATGACTTCCACACTCCAATAAAACACAAGTTTAACATTACATCCCACATGAACCTTGAATGGCCTACAGATAACTATGTTCATAGTGTTTCATCCCTTTGTCTGTCTTGGTAACATGCTACCTTCCCACAAATCCATTTTAATGCATCTCAAAGTACACTTTGCATCTTGCCTAGTGTATTGAAAGTAAAGATTAAATTTCCCATTCAAAAAGCTCCAAGTCTGAGTAAGACCATCTGCTATTCCAAGGAAAAACTAATGTGACAATAAAAATTACATGGTATGTTATTTAGTACCATTGATACCTAAATATTGTTCTTGAAAGAACTCATCCTGTTATATCTGGTTATAAACAAAGTAGCTAAAACTTAACTCCCTTCTAACTCACCTGGAAAATACTTCCTCACATTTCACACCAGCAGTTTCTTCATCTGAGATGTCATCATCACTATCATTTGTTGCTAGTGGAGCTGAATTGTCAATTGACTGACCCTCACACCTAAACAAAAAATAAAAGTTTGTATATACAACCAGACAATTTT